TGCAGTAATTGTTCTCTATCTTATTATTTATGTTCATTTGTTAAAAGGTTCCAAATGCTTTTACACAGCCAAAACAAGCAGACTCGATGATAACAAATAACCAAACAAAGTTATGTAGATAGGTTTTTTTTTCACACGGAGGAAGGAAGAAAAAGTCAAAAGAAAAAATGTTTGTGTTTGCATAGCCGCCATTTAAATGTAACGCACATTTAATGCTCTTCCTAAAGTGGGCGAAGCCCATACAATGCATTTACCAAACTGAATAATGTGAATGCAGTGTATTTATTAAACTGAGTAAAACACATCTAATCTAATGCATTTACATGTGATAGGGAATAATATTGCTGTATTCATTTTATACACTAACTAGTTTCTATTCAATATAATTAAAGCATTTGTTTGAATAACTGGAAACGAAGTAAAATAAAATGTTTGATAGCGAAAAAATGACTTTTTGGTTCAAAATACACTAATATGGCTATTCTAACTTCAACACTTTTGTATTTTAAATTCAAGGAGTAAGCCTGTGCAAATTCATTTGCTTATTTCAAAATACAAAATTCCAAGAAGGTAGCAACAAAATGTTTTCTCATGTGTACTTACCTTTCCGTGCGTTTGCCCGGCCGCTTACGTCACTGAGCTCTTTTTCAAATTCTTATACCTAACTACAATTTTTCTTCCAATTTATATCAGACTTACAACTATTTATTCAACTTCAATAGAAAGCATTTATATATTAAGATGTATGACAACATCTTTTAGTCAGTATCAAGCGTTTGTGTAGCTAAGATCTTTATTATTAACGAACACCGATCGCATTGCAAAGCTTTTAAATGTTACAAATTTACATTTTAAAAATGAGTTTATTTTACGCGTTTTTCACCATAATTGCCCTGTTTGAATACACTGTAAGTAAAGCCGTGCTTATAAATTTCTTTTTTCTTTATTTCTAAAAAAAGTGTTTTCACAAAAACGAAGAAATATTGGAATATTTTAATTTGTTTTACAGGAATTTCATGGAAGAGGTACTTAAAAACAGTGAATACAGAAAGAGAAGAGATTTGGGTCATACTGGTTCTCGTATCATTTGTTATTATATGTGTTTAACCTTTCATCCAAATATTCTCTAGTTTTTGCTCAAATTGTTGATGGCAACCTGGTCGATAAAATTGAAGATTATAATTTTGTTGTCGGATTAAAAATGCCTATAAATGATACTCATTCTACAAAATGTGTCGCAGTAATCGTTTCCCCTTGGAAAATTTTGACCGCAGGTAAATGACACGTAATAGTGTATTAGTTGTGTAGTAAAGTAACATCAAATGAAATTGACTCTCTCAATTTTAGCGCACTGCGTAAAGGACGCATCCGAAAAGGCTACTAAATCTTTATTGACATTCGGCACGTTAAACTTGGAAAAGCCGTTATCTCAAGTAGTTATAACTAAAGATGATACATTCGTGCATCCACAATATGGCGGTACACTGAAAATGAACATTTGATCGCATTCACGTCAAATATTTAACACGATGTACTGTATTTGATAGGTTTCAGCTCGTCAGTTGCCTTTGCTAACGATATAGGTTGGTGAAGTTTATACGGTTGTCTCTCATTTTACTCGCATTAATATGAACATTTGAATTTGACATAAGACTCACTTTTTTCAGCGGTAATTTTTTTGAGAACCCCGTTAATATTCGGCCCGAAAATATCCAAAATAGATATGGTTGATGAATATTTTGCACCAAATGAAGGAGATAACGTTAAAATGCTGGGCTTCTCGGAAGGCATTGGTCCCAATAATACGTATAAAGCAAGTAAATTGCGTATTGTCGAATCAACTATGGAAGATTTTGAAAAATGTTCAGATTTGTACCGGGAAACACGGCAGCGTATTTTAACGAAATCACAACAGTTTTGTGTTGCTTTGCGTAATCATACTAAACACAATACCAATAAGGTTTGTTTTTTGCGTTACACAATACATACCAAAACAGTACTAATAGAACGCACGTTATTTACGCACGTTAATACGAACAACAGGGGGACTCAGGTGGACCTGTACTTACAGGCGATGAACCTCCAAAATTGCTCGGCATTACTTCACATGGTTTGGCATTATTTCACAATTCTTCGTTTTTTTTGTTTGAATATTTTGTTTTTATAAAATTTAATCAAAACTTTGTTTAAAGGTTTCCCGGGGCTGCCGGAGGTCAAGGTTTTGGTATCAGGTTATTACTCTTGAATTAATTATTTAAATATATCATGGTGACGTTTTTCATATCTTGCAGGGTATCATGATTTCATTTCAAATCCAAGGGTGAGCACTCAAACGATCAAATTCTTTGATATGACCTCTTTGTCTGAATAATTTAATTGATTTATCAAATTTTCTTTAAACAAAAAGGGATTGCTTCGCGATAGCAACAATGGAAAAGGTGGTTCTTTCACAGCAATGAAACGACAACAACAATAACACATATTTTTACTGTCAAAATTTTGATGTCAAATGGTGTCGACATTGGTGACGGTATTTTGAAACAGACTGTGTAATCCATATTCATCGTATATGATCCTATGTAAAGTTCTATACTTGATCTAGTTCACATTGACGGTTCAAATCGGTTATGTTCAATAGCGTGGACATGGACTGTGTGTTTCTTCTGTTACATGTACGTTGTAATGGACAAGTATAGTAACATGGCGTCGTTTAAATAAATTTAAAAATCCGTCCACTCGTGTCGACACCATCTAGCACGGTAGTAGAGATTTCATTGCTGTGTGTTCTTTTGATTGATTTTATTCTTTTGCCCTTTTAATATTGCACAGAGTGTCATCCCATATGCTGGGACGACTACTCTGAGGAGTGTGACCTTTAATATTCTTTTTTGGATACAAATTCTTAATCGGACCCCGAAAAAAGAAAACTAAAAGTCACTCGCTCCAATGGTGACCCATTTATATGAGACATTATGTATATAAATTTATTTAGTTGATGTAATTGACGCTTCCAACAACTACGTGGCTGCGATTGTTTACACGAAAAAAAAAAGTAGTAAATGGTTCGGTTGGAAAAGTTCTCAAAACACTCAGCATACATGTACGGCAACAATTATTTCGAACAAAAAAATTGTAACTGAAGCTGATTGTGTGTATCGAGCAGAATCGGCTATTTTGGCTCTCGAGACGGTCAATACAGATGAGCTGTTTTACACACTCAAAATCAGCGAAGAAGAAATCTACGTGCATCCAGAATATGATGAGAAAACAAAGGACAATAACTGTGCCGTTATTCAACTAAAAACCGCATTGAAATTTGGTCCAAAAATTGGCAAAATCGATTTGGTAGATAGTAATTATGTAGCAAAGCCAAAAACTAATCTGACCGTATTTGGTAAGATATTCATACAAATACGATTTTGGAAGTGTTAATTAGACCATTCATGAATTTCATAGGTTTTTCGCAATCAAACGACCCGCATCGAACATATTTTGACACTAATCTCCAATATTTTGATGTAACAACTGAAAATTCAGACAATTATCAGAAATTAAAGAAGGTGAAGGAAGGGCGAAAAAGTTGCACAACATTGAAGATTGCAGACAGCGCAAGGAGACCACCTTCTGGAGGTATGGTTATCACAAAAGATAGGAAATTTCTCGGCATATTTTCGGATGTGAGTGGATATGAAGTCTGTAACTATCATCGCTTCATTAACAATCCGAGGAGGACATGAGCTCAACGCCTGCTATGTACTTGAAAACTAAAAACACTTATTGTGTTACTGACACAAATAAAACATTTGTTTTTACTTCGTTCTTCAATTATTCAAAGAAATGTTTTAATAAAATTGAACCGAATCAACTCATTTATGAACGAATTTATTCCAGGATTAATTATTTATGACATACCATTCATTTTTAATTGTTGACGGTATAACGGTATACAGAGGTTGTCTGTTGTTTTCTCAATTCCAAGCGTTTTTATTCACTCAATCGATAAACAGTTTCGAAACGAAACAACAAAATTTTCACTTATATATTCGAAATGCGCAGTTTTCAGATTGTCAAGAACAATGAATTTAGTTTACGTGTTGTTCACGGTGTTTCTTCTGATTGGATATAAGGTAAACAAGTTTTATTTTTGTTTTCAAAACTGGTGATCTGTTCAATTCGGGAGCCGTGTCACCATCCAGTTGAAAAAAAGTTATCAAGTTCTCGTGGTTAAAACAGTTGATTAAACACGATTAAAAGTCTGACGAACATAGGTGTTGACGAGAATTGTCTTTTGAAGAAAAAAAAAAAAAATTCAAAGCAGAGAGCCAATGGGAGGAAATGACAGCAAATTTTAAAATTGGCGCGCTGTTTAGTTTCGATTTGAGTTGTTAAATTACATTGACGTCACCTTTGAAATTGGTGGCGCCACCGTCGGCCCAATGAGACTTGAAGTCTTCACATCCTGTCATTGCAGAGAGCAATAGATGCCAGGGAGGGCCACCTCCTTAATGAGGGGTAAAATCATCAGTTTTATTTTAAATTACTCTTCGGTACTCCTCCAGCTCCTCAGAGCGATCCTCCCCACATTTTGAGAAACAGTCTCTGATTCAAACTTGGCCGCCGAACTCCTACTAATCATTCAATAATTCATGTAAATTTCATTCGTTCTTTCGTACGTAGATAACAAAGATATTTGTTCGCTTATAACTTTTTATAACGATGTTTATAAAATGTACGTTAAAAAATGACAGACAATCTATAGCTATATTTGTTCGATTTGCTTCTGTTAGGTTCATAATTACCAATACATATCTGCTAGTGAGAAAAACGTGCACCTTCCACTACAGTATTTCAAATAATTTTTATTTATTTTGCTAGCATTTATGAATAAAAGCTATTTGATAGTTAGATAAACAATTATGTTTATGCATAAGCTTCGTGTTAATTATTTATGCAGTCTTCATACAGTTGCTCTCTTCCGATTCATCAACAATGAGTTGACGTGTTTTTTTTTGCCACATATGTTTGAATGAAATTATTATTTTTAATGAATATTTAAACAAAGTTAATTCAATTCAGTTATGACATCTTGTTATTGAAAGATATAAAAGAGGCGCTTGCAAGATATCATCTAGCGCATCTGTTATTTTATCGCTTTTCAGTAATATCATGATTTAAAGTATCTTGAGCTTTGAGAATGAATTTATTTTACGTGTTTTTCGCCGTCTTTCTTTTGACTGAGTATTCGGCAAGTAATTTTTCCACTTTCTATTGAACATTTTATCGATTATAACAAAAATGATAGTAAACAAATAAAAAGACAAAATTACATAAATGCGTCATTTGTATCGTCTTGAATAAAAGCTAATGTAGACTTTTATATTTTTTAGGAATATCGTGGTGAAGGTAACTTTAAGTTCTTTTCTCCGTCGTATTCAATGCTAAATGTATGTTCACTTTATTTCCATCGATAAATGCAGTTGTTTCCCAAATTCTCGATGGCAATTTGGTTCCTTATATCGAATATCATAAGTATAACTACAGTTAACATGTGATGAGGATCTTCCCTATTCAATTCATATATTCAATTCTTCTATATTCAGTTACATCGTGGGTTTACAGTATAATAGGGAATGGAACTGGCGTTATATCAGTTGGTAGCTATTTTTATTGATATAATGGATCGAACCATTATTATAATTGTTATTGGTGCTAGAATGATTATTATATAAATACTTGTTTGAAGTGTTGGATCAATCGTTAGCCCTTGGAAGGTGGTCACGGCAGGTAAATGACACGTAGAATATTAGTGATCTAGTAAAGTCACATTGAATCATAATGATTTTTTCAGCCCATTGTGTACACAATAGAACTTCATTTACAATCGTTTGTAAGTATTGGTAATCATATGTTTTTAAAAAAAACTCAATTGAGCCAAAAATCGCTTACATTATACCTTTCTTCTTATGGCTATAGTTGGTACAGTGGATTTAAATTACCGCTATTTCACTTTGGATGTCAATGGTGAAGATATTATTTCACATCCAGCATATTCGGTACCGTACAATACATTGTCTAAACATACAGTGCCGCCAGATAGTTTGGAACCACCTTAGTATTTTTCATACAAAATGCCTTAACATGACGTTTTTCGAGATTTCAAAAATAATACTTTTTAACCTCGAAAAACGTCATTTTAAGGCATTTTGTATGAAAAATACTTAGGTGGTTCTAAACTTTCTGGCGGCATTGTATGTTTACCTTTTTTTATCCTCAATATTCAGTACAGTCGATTCATTCATTTTAGGGTGGGCGTCCTTTCAAAAATGATATTGCGGTACTTCGGTTGAATACTAGGATCCCATTTGACACAAAAGTGGAAAAAATAGGTAGATCAAATGAAAGTTATCGATTACATACCAAGCTTCGATTGTAAATCAATGTTCCAAATGGCAGATATGGTTGATGAAGGTTATATACCAAGGGAGGGCGACCTCGTAACCATGTGAGTATCTCAATTTGTAATAATTGAGCTTTAAATATATTAAATTTATCTATTAGGTTGGGCTATACCCAATCTTTAGAATCTGGAAAAAAGCGAAACACTTTGAAGAGTCCTCTGCGAGAGATCAATTCTACAGTCGAGAGTTTCTATAAATGCCAGGATTCTTATAGCGATTTAAATCAACAACGTCAATTGTCAGTATTATTTATTTATCCATTTTTTATTTATTTATTTTTATTTATTTATTAATTAAAAGTTGTGTTAAACTTCGTTCGGGGCGCCACAAGTAATTTATTTATTCTTTTTTGAAATATTTATTGAAAAGTATCAAATACCTAATCAATGACTGTTTAATTTTTGAAAAAAAAGCACAAACCAAGGTTTGTTTTTTGCATTACACAATACATACTAAAACAGTACTAATATAACGTTATTTGGCGACCAGGCGACTCAGGCGGTCCGGTTCTGACGAGCGATAGAAAATTCATAGGTGTCACATCATTTGATGTAATGATAATGATGATATAAATGTTATGATTGGGTGAAAATAAAAGTTTGAATCCGTGTCTTTGCTAAATTTTTGAAAAGATATAAATTGGAAGTGCCTTTTGCACCAAATGTTGCTATCGTTTAAATAACGCGATATTTTCACTATTATTCTCAACCATTGGACATTGTACATAACAGTCTGAGACTAACTAGTTTATACATATCATGGATTGTTCCTCTGAGCAGAAGGAATGGTAAGGAGGATTCCTTATATTTCCCCTTACCGTTCCTCCTCATTAAAGGAAAAATCTCTGATACATATTAATAATTTGAAAATTCATGAAAAATACCTTCGTTAGAGAGACGACGAGCCCGAAGTGTTTACGTTAAGTACGACCAGAGGTGTTCAGTAATCTCTTATCCTTTTTCATTCGTCGTAAATTTGAGTGCAAATAACTTTTCTTTTCTGAATATTTCATGTTTTAAGTCTCTGGTTATAGAGATTGGATTGCGAACCCCACTGTGAGTTTTGAAAATATATACAGAGTAACCTCTCTATAATGGAACGGGAAAACCTTCACAAAAGGTGAAAAATAAAAAACCACTGCGTTCCAATGAAGAGAGGTTCTTCTGTAGTTTTTGAATTAAATTCCCTTACTTTTAGTGGATCTGCTACAAAATCTTCAATTTAACAGGAATATAGTGGTAGCAGTAGTGGCCTAAGTAATATTTCTTTTCTCTCTTTTACATTTAACTCAAAAATACTAAATTTCTTACACACATTCGTATACAGTTTACGAGACTGATGGTTGTAAATTTATTGCCGCAATATTATATCAGAAATACACCTCAAGTGGAACATGTGGGGCAGTGGTTTTATCTAATAATAAAATTTTGACATCGGCTCATTGTGTGAGCGATCAACCATTATCCGTTACACTGCTCTTGGCCACATCGAACACAGACGAACCGTACAAATCACTGAATGTGGTTACAGATGAAATATTCATTCATCCCGAATATAGCAGTGGAGACTCTCCCCCGTTTGTCAACGACATAGCCATAATTTTATTGAAGAAAGCGTTGAAGTTCGGCCTAAAAATCGGTAAAATAGATATGGTTCCAACGAGCTATATGGCAAAACCAGGTGAAGATGTAGAATTATTTGGATATTCAGAATCACAAAGAACGCATGGAGCCTCGTATTATGACACGAATTTGCGATCGATTAATACAAAAATTGCGGACTTTGATCTTTGCCTCAGTTCTTATGCCGGAACTGCCAATTTAGAGAGAGGAAAACAATTGTGCCTCGTATTGAATAATGGGGAGCAAAGCACGGGACGTTTTTCGGGTGGACCGATTATAACAAAAACCAAAAAATTGCTCGGCATCGTTTCACATTCAATGAATGGATTGCCTCTAGTTGTCAGTTCAGTTACTGGACATCGTAAATTCATCGATAACCCAAGGGTGAGTTGATTGAAGTCAAGTTTTAAATGGATTATTATAAAAAATAAATCGCTTCATTTTCAATTTAACAGGGTTTCCGTCCCAGCAGCTCAGGTGGTAGGCAAAATGTTGAATATACCAGTGTCCCTGGTGGACAAACGGGCAGATCAATTGGTTCAAATGTTCCGAGCAGACAAGTGAGCAGGTCCAGCAGCCAAACAACAACTGAAAGCGATTTGGTTCGAAAAATCGAAGACCATAAGTATACGGCTGGACTGTTATACAAAGATGATAGTAGCGGTGGTCGAAATTTGTGTACTGTAACGATCATAACGAGTACCAAAGTATTGACCGCGGCCCATTGCGTGCATAACAAATATTCAGTGACTTTAGAACTTGGCACACTAGATACAGATAAACAATATAAAACCGTGAATGTTAGCAAAGAAGAAATACTTGTGCATCCACAATATAGCGCAGACCCTTGTTTTGTCAACGACATAGCTGTAATTTTATTGAAGAAAGCGTTGAAGTTTGATTCGAAGATTGGCAAAATTGATATGGTCGATAAAAAGTACGTAATCAATACGGACGATAAAGTGACGTTATATGGGCATTCTAAAGGCTATTTACGATATTTTGATTCGAAAATTGCCGACTTTGTTGGGTGTCGCCGTTCATATTGGGAAAAGAACAATGATAACCCATGGTTGGAAGAAAATCGACAATTTTGTGTTCGTGATGGAGAAGAAACGTCCATTGGAACTGGGTATTCGGGAGGTATGGATTTCTTTAAATTTTCTCTAAATAATTATTCAATTTTAACAGAGAACATTCGAATTTTGTTATAGGTCCTGTGGTAACAGCTGGAAAAAAATTAATTGGTATATTCTCATATGATAAAGATGGACTACTGCTAGAGATTTGTACTTCCATTATTGGCCACCGTTCATTCATCGATAATCCAAAAGTGAGTTAAACATGAAACTTAGTTTAAAAGAAAGTAAAATCTCTAATACTCTTTTTATAGCTTTTTATAACTTCCAATCGTGGCAGCGGCAATAGCGGTAATTTTTAACATTTCGAAAAAATATACGGAATGATTTTTTTTTCTCAAATAATTTCGATACAGGTGGAACCGCTGGACAACCAAGTAGGACAAGTGGACAGACAGGAACAGGAGGCCAAACGGGTGCATCGCGTAGAACAAGTGGTCAAACAGCGAATACTGGAAGTTTAGTTGATAAAATCGAAGGTTATAAGTACATGGCGGCAATTTTCTACACAAGAGAAGGAAGTAGTAGCCAATCTGTTTGCAGTGCAACTATAATATCAAATTATAAAATACTCGCACCTGGTCATTGTTTGCACCTAGTGCAACCGGTCACCTTGATACTAAGTTCCAAAAATTTGGATGAACCACAGCAAACGGTGTCCATTCCACCAGAATTAATTGTTATTCACCCTGAATATAACACCAATACGTTACTGAATAATTTGGCCATGATACAGCTCAAAGGTTTATCTTTATTGATTTCTTTAATTCGGATTTTAGGAAATTCAAATATTTGAAATTTGAATCTAATAAAAAATTAAATGTTTAAAGCTATGTTGAAATTTGGCTCAAAAATGGGCAAATGTGAAATGGCTACTTCAACATACAAAGTAAAAGACGATGAAGAAGTCACAATAGTTGGTTACTCTGGCAATCGTTTACATATCGCCAACGCAACAATATCCAATTTCGAAGCATGTAAGATGTCATATTCGCAAATAAGCGACGACAGTCCGATGTTAGTTGAGAAGAAACATTTCTGCATCCGATTCAACGATGAAGAACATAGCTCAAATGAAAGATATATCGGAAGTATGAAACTTTTTGTTATTTCGTACAAATGATTTCTATTATATGTCGATTTTTATTGCAGGCACGATTATTAATAAAAACAAAAAGGTCATTGGCATAATTTCATTCAATGGTCTCGATGGACTGCCACATGTTTGTAGTTCGACTACAAACAGTGGCTACCATGATTTTATCGCAAATCCAAGGGTAACTATTGAATTTTTCGCATTTTTTCATTCTTAAGGAATCAGTGATCTACATGATGAAATTCGTTGATTTGTCACAATTAATGGAAGAATCTAATGAGTATTTTCGCAATTTGTATGAATTATTTTTAGATTTATGCAATGAATCATCGCAAGAAATATGGATCAAAGAAAGATATCGACTCTGAGGAGGAGGAATTAGAATATCTCTTAGAACATCAAACCGCAGGAGAATCAGAGGACCCTTTTATAAACTAACACTTATTTTTTTGGAATTTATATTAGTTTTTAGTTGAAATAAAGAGGATTACGTACGCAAGCTGACTTTTTGCGTGGCACGAAAAATTTGGGAATAAACTGAAACCAACCGTTCAGGAATACATACATTTATGCTGTAGATTGAATGATGCATTCCCAATCACCATGTAAAGTCAGGTTTGGATTTAATTTTCTGTGGGAAGAGTTATCGTGCTAACAGACTCTTTACCACATCCCCACATTAACATGGCCAAAAAACCGTTATTCAGTGATTCCTTCGACCCAAAACATGTAGAAAAACGATTTTTAGCGATTTCCAAATTTTTTGTAATCAACAATACTTTACTAGTAGTCTACACAGTGCATACAGTGGGTGTGCGGAAATGTAATTTTTTTTTTTAATTTATGTATTTTCATTTATTTATTCATTTATTTTTGGGGAAATACATAATTTAACAATCAGCTTCAATCAAATGATTACAATAGGAATTAAATTGTTTTTAAAAATGTTTATTATTATTGCTATCTGCTTTAAATGGTAAAAGTTCTTATGATTTTTATTTATTATTGAGATGTACTGAAAATAGAGAGACATTATGAGACAATTTCAACTTGCAACCACCAACGATGGCGTTTCAACAGTTCACTATCAACATCAAATTTTCGATATTGAAGATAAAAAAACATATTTTTTTCAAATTTTCTTTATCAAAAAACTTAAACTCTAGAAACTAAAAGTTGAATTCAAATTTATAGTAAAACTTGGTAAAGAAACGTTTCTCTCCCTTTAACTTTAGACAAATCATGAATTTAATGAAGTATTTAATGACTATAAATTGAAGAACAATGCTAAAAAGCTGACTAACTAATCAAATGTGAATTTTCACAAAAAAGAATTTTCTTAAATTGTCTCCTCTTTGCCTCAATCAAACAATTCATATTGCAAAATATTTTCCGGTCTTATTCTCATATTAATAAATCGAAGTTTTTGTTTGATCCAATCACTAAAGTAGGCAACATTAACGTACATTCCCGGTATCTCTTTCCCACATCCAATTCCGCCGGCAACGATGCCTGTTTGATAAAATCGTCCGATGTCATGTGGAATTTCGCAAAATAATGGCAATCCACCGTCTCCTTTACATGTATCACGTCTACCGCCGCCTGCGCACATCAAGCTATTATGCAAATTATAAAACGGTCCCAATCGTGTTTTTCTTAAGATCGCCTCGCAATTTCCTTGCTCCACGATAGGTAGTTCAATTTTCTTCGACGTTGCTTGATATTTTCCATTACGATTGGTCGCATTTTTGCCCCAACCGCCCGATGTGCAGATCGTACCTTCATTAGTTTGAATGCTTTGTGGTGGTAAACAAATGGTATTCACAGCATCGGTCATTTCAAATGGTTTGTCCACTACGATCAATGCAATGTCATTGATCAACGAATCGGCGTACAAATCTTCGTGATTGATGATATTCGTTACGTTTCGTTCTTGACGTTTTCCATCCGATTCTGGTTTCAAAATGTCGTGTTCACCGGCACGAATTACCAATTGTTCGGGTTTAAATTTCAGTAGCAAATGAGCCGCCGTTAAAATCACAGACTCATGTATCAATGAACCACCACCCAGGTAACGTAGTTTACCCGATGGCAATCGGAAGAATATTCCAACCATCCACGGGAATTCATTCGGTCGCATGTCGTCACCGCTGATTATTCGACTGGATATGAATTGGCCATAACCACATTTTTGGATTGTCATAAATTTATTGTCGTCATCATCATCATCGTCGACGTCATCATCGTCATCATCATATTCGGTTTGATCGTTCGGCCCATTTTTGTCTGGAGGTGGTTGATGCAAATCTTTTATCGCTTCATCCGCACAACATGGCACCTCCATATCATCACACTCCACAAATTCACCTGGAAGGAATTTTTTCGGTGAAATTCGGGACGATAGTCGCCAATCAATTAATTCCGTACCATTGTTCACGACTTTATCATTGATGCACAATGAATAGGCAATGCAAATAATATTATCACAATTTGTTATGTTGGTCGGTTCGTTTGTGGCAATGTCGGGTATATTGAAAATTTCCGATAGTTTTTCGTTATCAACACTGGTCTCATTTGAATCATCCGATTTCGATGACAATGGACGGCGCTTTAGCTCAGTATTTGCTGGATATGCTTGCGCAAAGCAAAACAATATGGAGATAAGTAGAAATTTACACAGGAACATTTTTTTACACTTTTTCGATTTTTTCTTCACTTTTTAATGTTTTTTCCGATTTTTTAGCTTCGATTTTTTCAATTCAATATTTTTGGCATTTTGGTCAATCAATTTTTTGATCTTTGAAAATGTTCTTCGATGTTCTCGCCTTGAACTTTAAAATATAAGTGTTGGTTGACACTTGGATCTGTCTTTTAAATATGAAAATGTACTAATCACCATCATTTGTCCTGAAAATGACCATTATGACCATTCCCGTTTTATTGGGTCCATTTGGTTTACCTGTTGAAAGTACTTAATTGCCATTTCTTGTCTTTCGAACTTTCTTCCATACATTACGCTTCCCATCGAAATACCGTCTGAATTTCAAATAATTAGATCTAATTAAGTCGTTTTTCTGAGAAATTTTCATGTGGTTAACCAAATTGTACTAGTATTGTACTTTGTACCTTTTTTCTGCGTGCCAGGTAGAACCCGTCGTATTTGGTAAAAGAAGTACAATTTTATAATAAAATAGTTAATTTCCCCAAATTTTCAAGTGGATTAAGTCAAATTACATCATTAAAAATGTAGGTATTGCATTTCGAGGCACATTTTCAGGCTTCAAACTTTACACCGATAAATAGAATATCGCTAAAAGATGATTCCAGTCCATTCCTCACTTTCTCCAATGAACCTGTAAAGTCACATTTGACTTACGTTTTTGTGGGAAAATTTATCGTGCTATCAAACTTTTGCGTAAATTTTGAGGTGTTTAGAATACTATACTGCACAGAGTGTGTAAAAGTAAAAATGAAACGAAATAAATAATAATAAAGATATATCATTTAATAATTGAATTCAGCATAAATTCTTTTATAAGATAATGACGCTGTAGACTTGGAGTATCTGATATCATCATGATTCATCTCCGCCTGGGATTATCAATGAAATTGTAGTTAAAAACTTGTGGTAATCCATTGATATACGAAACTATGCCGAAAAATTTTCTATCTCTTGTGATAACAGCTCCACAATTTAGTGTTACAATCACGTCTATTAGAAAAGTACATAGACAAAGATATTAGAGTAAGGTTACTCTAATATTCGGAGTAAATGAAGGGTTTACTCTTCAAAATGAGTTAAAAGAGTACGGTTTCGATTTTTACCTAAATAGAAAATACGTGATTTTTCATGTAAAATGACACTTTCCAATTATCATTCTATTTCTTACGTTGAATTTTATATTTGTTTATATTCGCCGAATATCCTACATGTTGATGATATACATATAATATATGTCATATATGTATACCAACAATTCACAGAACTGTTATTTGAT